AGCAACACATCACTATCAGAGACATATAATATTATATTATAGTATTTTTTTTATGCTCTTGGTAAGCTTTTCTCACACCTTGATAAATGTTCAATCTGGATTTTTCTTATATACTTAATGTCTTTTTTATTCCGTTTCAAGCATAATCTTTGGTTATTTTTCAAAGATTTCTCCCTACGATTCCTCGGACGTCACATTCAGGTGATAACTGTACATTTTTACGTCCTTCTTAGACACAATTAAGACAATTTAAGAGAAACTCAAGATAACGACCCAAACACCGTTATAATAACATGCATAAAGTACACAGTAAGCAGAAACACATGACACCAAAGAGCGCGTGTATATAATGAACTATGACTATGACATCACAATACGACCGTACACCGACTCTAACTGGCAGACGAGCGTTTCTACGTCATCACGATATTGACAATAACAGCAACATTGACAGTGACAGCGACCTTGACAGAGACAGTAACAGAGACAGCAAAAGTGACAGTGGCAGTAACGCTAACATTGACACACTGAGAGTAACGGTGACAGTGATAGTGGCAATGCCATGAGTAACAGCAACAGCAACAGAAACAGCAACAGTAACAGAAACAGCAACAGTAACAGAAACAGCAACAGTAACAGTAACGGAAACAGCAACAGTAACAGTAACAGCAACATTAACGGAAACAGCAACAGTAACAGTAACAGCAACAGTAACGGAAACAGCAACATTAACGGAAACAGTAACAGCAACATCAACAGCAAAAGTAATTGTAACAGAAACAGCAACAGTGACAATGCAGCTCCCCAACTCCCGCCTACAGAAGCACCGCCACACCACCAGCACAGCAGCCCAGTGCAGCCCAGTAAGTAAGATGTATCTATCCCTACAATATCTTACACATTTTCTACATAGAGAGAGGCAGGCAGGGGGTGCCACCAACAGAGAGCGACAGTCCAGGAATTCACAATACGACAAACAAACAATGAGTGGGTTACAGAACCCAAAAAAGGAAAATATCTCCAAAACATCGTCTCTTTAATAAGGGAATCGAACTCACGTCTTATGTGATAAAGGCAAAGGTGCCGCCATCACCCCTCTCCCAAAATAAACCCCAAAACCCAGTGACAGAAGTAGCAGTTTTCTCACAAGCTCTTATAAGGTATCTGAAAAGCTGGCTATCTCCAATATCTGTCTGTCTGTCTGTCTGTCTGTCTGTCTGTCTGTCTGTCTGTCTGTCTGTCTGTCTGTCTGTCTGTCAGGCCATTTTGGGGTTAACACAGACACAAAAAAAACACTCTAAAAACGCAAGTAGCAGAGAGTGAGAGACAACTATGTTAAAGCAAACCGCTACGTTATGGTGGAAAGAGCAAAACAGAGCACAAAAAAAACAACAGAAAACCAAACAAAAAACAACAAAAAATTAATAAAAAGGGGAAAAAAAAAAAAAAAAATGTCCAAAAATGTAGGAAACGAAATCAAACAGTGAAAGCTTGGCGTCAAACTAGAGTGCTGCGACCTTCACCTTCGTCCGCCGAGGGCTCAGGGAGAGCCAGATTGAGAGAGTCGAACATAGATTCCTGGTCTGAAAACGTAAGTCATGATAGCGTTAGTCCTCACACTCCGGGAATTCCCACACATACCACCGTGGATAGATAATACAATATAAAGGAGAGGGAATTTTATAAAAGGGGTTGTTGATAAACAGGATCGTGAAAAAAAACGAGCGTGGATACATAAAAGTAACACGAGCATAGAGGACCATGGATAATATGAAGAAACATGGGCATGAAAGACCATGGATATAAAGAACCATGGACATAATAAAGAAGTATAATATATTATTCTAAACAGTTGATAAATAGGACTGTGGATAGAAAGATATCGGGGTTTCGGTGTACATTCCATCAGACTGAAAGATACATTTACAGATTCATATTCCAAGCATATTATTTCAGTATTACCTAGAACTTCTTTTTCAAGCTTTTAAAATATGAAGTTAAAAGATACAATAATATGCGTACAGAATTCATTGCTATAGACTATAAATAGGTTTACATGTTTACGAAGCTTTTTTATGTTATCTGCACTTCAACTTTACCTTACAATATTATAAGCAAAAGGCGTTTCAATTCATATGAGTAAAATAATTTGTTTTAAAGTTTACTTTAAAACAAAAAAAAAGCTGTCCACTTTTCACAAACATTTAATGTTAGTAGCCTACCCTAGCATTACTCATACATTTTGTCTTTAAATGGAAAACAAAAAACTCGACACATTTTGAATATATTCAAAACAGAATGTCTCTGACTGGCATGACTTAAACAGTCTAGGCCTAAGGGAGAATAGATTGAACCAGTACTACTATGTGTTTGTTTGTTTCTTTTAGTAGAGGTTTTACGGCGCTCGCAACTGCATACGGTCATATGAGTGCCAGAGGATTAGAGGCGTTACAAGAGAGTAACAAACATAAAAAAGAAGAAGGGGGAGATAAGGACGATAGATGTTTGACAGGAAAGAAGAAGCAAACCACATCAGAGCACCCACCAACCACCTGCTAGTACTATGTGTGAAGAGATTAGACGCAAGAGGAATGTAAGGTAGAAGAACATCAGAAAGAGTTGCCAACAAAAACTTGAGGGTGTTACGAAAATGGAGGTTTCATTTATAGAATGAAAACAAACAAACAACAACAAACAAACAAACAAACATAGAATAACAACAACACCGAGAACTCCGGCAGATCTATCACTTTCATATTGTTATAAACTTCTTTTCTGCAAAAATTACGAAACGTGAGGTAGCATTTTTTTAACGAAAACACAAAAAACAACACTACGGTACTCCAGAACTCTTACAGGTCTATCATTTTTATATAGTTTTCTTTTTTCAATGAAATTTTAACAAGACATAGCCTCTTTTGTAAATTTTGTGTTGTTTAATCGAGTGTATAATATTTTATCTTTTACAGCACTATCAAAACAATTTACACATGTATAAGAGCCGACTTTGTGTCTAATTATCTCAAAATCAGGAAAGACAATCACACAGAAATGCATTATGTTTGGGAATCATGATTGCCCTTGTATCAACAACAAAAAAACAAGAGAGAATCATTAAAAGCAGCGATGGCGAGAAAATCAAATGTAGTATTAGAATACATGAATAATAATTAGGTCACCTGATAAGTTGATAGAAATGGTTAACCGTTATCCTCGACAGTTGGACAAGCACACACTGCATGTCATTGAGGGTATGATGAGAGAGAGAGAGAGAGACAGAGAGACAGAGAGAGAGAGAGAGAGAGAGAGAGAGAGTGAGAGTGAGAGAGAGAGGGAGAGAGAAATAAGGAGGGAGAGGGAGAGAGAAGCGGAGAAATAAAAGGAGGGGAGAGAGGGATGAAGGAGGCGGGAGACATAAGGAGAGACAGAGAGAGAGAGAAAGAGAGACAGAGAGAGAGACAGAGACAGAGAGAGATAAAGAGAGAAAATCATGCAGAGAAATTTGGTATTTTACGGTGGCTTTCATAAAAGCATGGGCAGACAAGCGTCATGCAGAAAATGTGACCAACAGACAACAAAACGTACGGTAATTTCATCTAATATACTGGGATAAATCTTTATAAAATCTTTCTACCGAGTCAAGCAAAAGGGATTAGAGGAGTACTGAACAGCTGAGTGGTGATTTCCTGTCAGTCAACAAGACAGTAGCCATTTTTCAGCAACAACAGATTATTGCAAAAAATGACATAGAGGAGGAGTAGAAGGAGCAGGCCACATGAAAGATCCAGCTGACTTTGACGTCAGGATTTATTTTATGATATGTTAAAGGCAATCAAGACAATGACGTCAGAGTTTACCACCAAGGCGATGACATCACAGCATACCAAGGCGATGACATCACAGCATACCAAGGCAATGACATCACAGCATACCAAGGCGATGACATCACAGCCTACTACCAAGGCAATGACATCACAGCATACCAAGGCGATGACATCCCAGCATACCAAGGCGATGACATCACAGCATACCAAGGCGATGACATCACAGCCTACTACCAAGGCAATGACATCACAGCATACCAAGGCGATGACATCACAGCCTACTACCAAGGCAATGACATCACAGCATACCAAGGCAATGACATCACAGTCATCACAGCATACCAAGGCAATGACATCACAGCATACCAAGGCGATGACATCACAGCATACCAAGGCAATGACATCACAGCATACCAAGGCGATGACATCACAGCATACCAAGGCGATGACATCCCAGCCTACCACCAAGGCAATGACATCACAGCCTACCAAGGCAATGACATCACAGCCTACCATCACAGTAATGACTTCAGAGTTTACCATCAAAGCAATGATGTCAGAGTTTATGTTAAAGACGATAATGTCACAGTCATTCTTCAAGAAAATGATGTCATGGCTGCCTCTTCTCTCCCTGTCAAGATAATCAACACATTACAGACATAGACATGATAGCTTTAATGTGTAAAAGATATCAAAACTACACCCCTACCAAGACACAGCTTTTGTGAGCAATGTTTTCCACAGTTATCGACACACTTCGGACGCAGCCACAGATTTCCCTGCGCAAGCGCGTGCGTGCGAGTGTTGACCCACCTGAGTAGTACTGTATCTTCTGCTGCCACAGCCGCATGGTGTCGGGCGATGGGAACTCCAGCAGGTACTCAGCACCGTCGTGCAGTCGCAGCCTCAGCACGTGCTGCTTCTTGGTGTAGTCCGCAGCCACTTCGCTCTGGGAGCGGTGAATGTTGAGGGGAGGGGCCGCTGCCTGGCTCTCCACAAATCCTGGGACATACACAAATGACATACACATGACACACACGTTACATTATATGGTTTTTTTGTTTTTTTTTGTAAAGTGTTTTACGGCGCTCGCAACTGCATAAGGCCATATGAGCGCGTGGGACACACCTAATATTTTCAGTTGGTGGGAAATTTTGAATATTGCCCGGGTGGCGGCCGAAGCCTACTCTTATCAATTTTAGACCACCAAGGGATCTTTAACATGCACAACTTGCACACGGGCCTTCCGAGATTTTTCGCCCTTGTCCGAGAAGGCTAGGTGTAGATCTTTTCTACCAGAAGATCAGGGGTGTGGCTGAAAGACAGCAGTAAGAAGAAGTGAAGGAGTAGCAGTAGAAAGGCTGCAGAAAGAGTCAGGAGCCCAGAGGAGGAGGCAAAGGAGGTGAGGGGGTGGGGGCAAAAAGAGGAGATGAAAGCAGACGACAGAACATTGCTAGAGAGCAGGAAATGAGGTGAAAGGAGACAAATATAGAAAAGAAAATTTTTCGGTCGCTACCCGGATTCGAAACCAGGACCTTCGAATGAGAGGCCAACACCTTAACTTCTAGGCCATGAGAGCCCCCGACATAATATGTGACACATCATGAGACACCTTGGCATACAAAATACACACTTGACTCAGACATGACACATCATGACATACAAAATACGCACATGACATTTTCAACACACACACATACACACACAAACACACACACATACACACACGACATATAAAACACACGCAGGACACATAAATGACATACGTGAAACACACACAACAGCCATGACACAGACATGACACAGACATGACACATGTGACCCAGACACTAAAAAAAGAGCAACAACAAACAAACAAACAAACAAACAAACAGATGAAAATGTCCTACACCTTCCTTTTATTAAAGAAGTAAAGCCCACCATACCACCCCTCAACCACCTACACTCAAAATCAGCAACAAATCATAGAATCCCCTCCCCACCCCATCCCCCCCTCCAAAACCTTAAAAAAAACCACCCCAAAAAACCCAAACCAAAACAAAAGAAAAGTGGGGGAAAAAAATAAATTACAAAAAAGCCCACATCCCAGTTTCCACCGCTTTAACACTTTGCCATCATATTTGGGGGAAAATCCAAAGAAACTGGGTGGTAAACATCACCAATCGGCGAGATGAGGCGGCAAAGTGTTAAAGCATCTGCCAAAACCCACCAGCCACCCAGCAACCACCCACCTTCCTTGTCCTTGAAGAAGCAGATGAGCTGGCCAAAGAGCACGGTGTAGTAGTTCTTCCATGACCTGATGGTAGCCTTCTTCCCACCGGCCTGCAGCTCCTGCTTGCGGTCCACCAGACCCTCCAGCTCAGCCGGGGGCAGGTTCTCGGGGAGCTTGTATTTGTCCTTGAAGCTGCGCGTCCGGCGTCGGATGTTGAAGCTTGGGGTTCGCTTTGTCTTCTTGCTCTCTTCTTTCACCTGGCGATTGAGGAGAAGGTGAGAGATTTTTAACTCTTTAAACTCCATCGGACGCAGGGAGCGTCCGATACTAGTGAAAACCTTTTTGTTTTATTTCGAGCTAGTTTTTGCTTGGTTTTTGGAACTATTCCCAAACCAAGTCTTTTAGTAATGACTAAACTTTGGTTTCCACCATTTAGAAGTTGGAGGCAAGCTTTTGGGGTTATAATGAGACATAGTGCACCAGGTTTAGGTGGCTGTAGAAAAAACTCTGGGAAACGGTGGAAAAAACTCAAGGATTTAAAGAGTTGACCCTTCCAGCCCTGAGCGCGTAAATTTTCAGCAGCGCTTGTACCTCCCACCGTCCCAAGAGCATATATTTTCAGTTTCGGGGGTTCAGAATTTGGGTGTTTTTCCAAATAAGCGAACCTAATTAAACTTTGATTTTCATAATATTTGTTCATTTACCTTTAAACATTGTAATATGTTATTATCTAAACCTCATTACAAGGATACTACATCACTTTTCAGAATGCATGCCTCAATTTCTGAAATACTTCTGTATTGGCTGGGACTGGGGTTAGGGAGTGCACAAAAATGGCAGGGGCTGGAAGGGTTAATGTTTTACAGTACACTGTTCCCTTCTCTCAAATATCACTGGGTGGTTATGGACCGCTGATTGAGGCAACGTTGAGAGCCTTTTAATGTTTTACAGTATGGTATTCCCTTGAAAGTGACTGGGTTACAGCCTGGTGATTGAGGCAAAGGTGAAATTGCTGTGTTACAGTATTTCTTGAAATATCACTGGGGTTAAATTCCTGGATCTCATGCACAAACAAACAAAAAAAATTTTGCGTAGCTTTTACCCCTTTATATACCCTCTCATAAATCTCTTCCTCCCTCTTAAAATACTTTCTACACTTGGAGTATGAAAGACCAATCAATGGTATTTTGGGGGGATATATCTTGATACATCTGCTAGTGGCCAGATTTACCATCATGGGGCGGAAAAAGTTACCAATTCATATCATCATCATCAAGTGCCAGATCTGCGACAGACATCGGCGGTCATGGTTTTCCATTCATTCCTTTGCTCGGATGCTTTCAAAAAAGCTACGTTTCCCTGATCTTTCCCTGTTACCCATTTGTTTAGGTTCCCTAAGTATGTTGTTCTGGGCCTACCCCTGCCTCGCTTGCCCTCAATTTTGCCAGTGAGAGCTAGATGTTCAAGACCCTTATGTCTATTCAGGTGTCCCAAAAACTGCATTTGTCGTTTCCAGATTGTTTTTAACATTGAGCGTTCCACGTGGGCTTCACCAAGCACTACCTCATTTGATTTCTTTTCCTTCCACGATACTCTTAGCAGTCTCCTAAGGAACCACATTTCTGTTGCTTCTATTTTATTTTCACTGTCTTTAGTGATTCAATTTATATAAAATCCTCAAAAAATTCACCCTATCCGTATGTCGTGTTTTACTATAGTATCCATACGACGTGGGGAACTCTGTGCCACCACTTTCCAAAGAGGAAATTTACTCATTAATCTGATTCGTACGCTTTGCATAGCAGTCTGTCAAAGTGATTTTTCGAGAAATACTGAAAGTTTCAAAGAGATCTTCGTACCGTACTAGAAGTATTCTAAAATGTAAAGAAGACAACCTCGGAGGGTACAAAATAACCTCAGGGCGTACGGATAGGGTTAAATGTAATTTGCTAGGAGTCTAAAGGATCTCCACTCACCAAATCCACTCGTTTATCTAGGAGTCTAAAAGGGTTCTCCACTCACCAAATCCACTCGTTTATTCATCATGCCAGTGGGGCTGAGGGGAGGGGAGAGGCCACCACGCTTGGAGTAGGACGGTGACGTAGCTCTTCCATCCTCCGGGCTAGACGCTCGCTGCTGTTTGGGTGGGGAGGACATCGGGGGCGGGGCATGGGGCAGGGCGGGGGCGGGGCTGTCGTCTTCCTCGGCCAGTGATGATGTATCGGCGGCAGGGGAGGAGGGTAGCGTTGTTTCCGCGGTTTCTTCCACGGGAGGAGGGGAGCGGGAAGGTGGGGAGCGGCCTCTCTCTGAGGTGGGGGAATATTGGTCGTCCACACTCGCCTGTGGGGAGCAAAAGTACCGGACCTAAACATAGATAACTGGTGGCTCTAGAAACTATAAACACATTACTTATGGTAATTGTTTGTTTTAGTAGACATTTTACGGCGCTTGCAACTGCATTAGGTCATATGAGCGCCAGAAGATTAGAGGTGTTACAAGAGAGTAACAAACATAAAAAAGGAGGGGAGATAAGGACGATAGGTGTTTGATAGGAAAGAAGAAGCAGCAAACCACACCAGAGCACCCGCCAACCACCCACACTTATGGTAGAGGAACAAAACCACAGGACCTAAACATAGATAATTGGTGGCTCTAGAAACTATAAACACATTACTTATGGTAAAGGAACAAAAACATTCAACTTAGAAATACTGAAACAAGAAACTTTAGGCAAATATTGTAAAGTATGCATTATGAAAATTGGGTGCCAATAAATTTTAAATTCTATTTTGCCAAGTGTCTACAGGTAAATGTTGAACGTTTAAGAAATTCATATCAAAATTATACATTTAACAACTGCTAAATAAAACCCCAAAAACTTAAAGGCCCCATTCCTAGAATCTACATAAAAATTCTGTACACTTTATCAATCATACATTCAGTAAACTGGAGTGTATTATTTTCAGTCTCAATGACCAACTGCTGTACACTTAAAATGAAAATAATTATACATTTTTTAAAAAAGGTAAATGATACAATTTCTAAAAAAATGTACACCCCAGTCCCTATAGCCAACTATTGTCCATTCAGGTACCAGCTGCGGTACTGAACTTCTGTATTTTTAGCCAACAAGGACAAAAGCTGGGCAGTGAGCTACTACTCCATGAACAACCACACAACTAAACTCTCAGTCTCTGCGGTCAATATCAGACACTTTGAAGTAAATCGACAGCCTAGAGTCCCCCCCCCCCCCCCCAAAAAAAAAAACCGACCCACACTCAAGACCATCCCATCGGGGATTCGAGTCAAAGCCATCCACAACACCATTACGGCCCAGTATTATACCAACTGAACCAGTGGTTGGAACCACTACAGCTCTCCTATTGCTAGGAAAAAAAAGTTAACAAAGACGTAGAGCCACAAGTACAGCTCTCCTTTAGCTGAGAAAAAAAAGTTAAGAAAGACAGAGCCACAACTGCTCTCCTGTCTTTAAGACAAAAAGTTAAGAAACACAGAGCCACAACCGCTCTCCTATTGCTGAGAAAAAAAAAGTAAAGAAAGACACAACCGCTCTCCTGTCTTCAAGACAAAAAAAAGTGCCAGAAATGTTCTCTCACGGACCTGTCTGAAGTTAGCTGCCTTCTGTAGGGAGACTGTCGGGGAGGTGGGCTGATCACTGCGGGCCCGGAAGCTGACCGCTCGCTGGATATCTGACTTTGACCCATCGGGCCGGACCGTCATTTTGATGCTCTGAGATCGTCCGATGAGATTCTTGACCGTGGAGCGGTCCAGTCTGTCTTCATTCCTGGGAGAGTGAAAGATACAATCAACGATAAAATAACATACTGATAAATAAATCCCTTCACTTCTACATCTGGTCCTCAGTGACTTTCTAGACACTTGTTCAATGCAAGTCTGTGAAGCTTTAAATGTCTCACATTAATACAAAAGGACTGACTTCACATTTTAATTGAAAATCCTCAGCTTTGTTCGAAGTGAGATATCTCTGGTCTTCCAAATCCTATCCAAAGAAATATGAAAGCAGCGTGTGCTTTTCCAATGCCGGGCTTTATTTCAGCACCTGTTCCTCCCTCTCTGTCAATTACACTCCCAAGATAGCAGAAGGATTCAACGTCTTCTAAGATGTTCTGTGACAAAGCCTAATTCTACCACTATGTCGTCTTCTAGTTCACCTCCTGTCATCCTCTCCATTCTCTTCCTTCTGTCTTCTCAGTAACACCTCCTTAGCCTTCCTCTGCTCTTCCTCTTTTCTCCTCTCCTGTAAAGAAAAAAAAAACATATATCAAAACGAGGACATTTTATAATAACTTTATTTCGAACAATATATAGAGAAATCATAACTTGAATCAATGAATGAAAACAGAACACACTAAGGCCTACTTCTCTTCATAAGAAATATTTAACAGTCTTACTTATTTGACAAGACATCAGAAAAAAAATATATGGCAATACAAGAAATTTGTTGCCCCTTAAATTTGGACAAAATTGTTATAAAGGATGATATATATTGGAAGATTATGCAGCAAACAACAACAAATCTAGACACTTGGTAAACTCTTTTCGTACAGCGCCGCGATCTTTCAGGACTTATCCAACACTGTCCAACAAGGGCCACCCTAAAGCTTGAGCCAGGAATGCAGAAAATTAATCAAATAGCAACTCATGAATATCTTGAGTAGTTTTAAAGATATTCCACATTTTGTAACATAGGGTGTAAAAACAAAGATGGGAGAAATGGCTTTAACCTTAGTATATTGACCCAATTTCTAGAACATTTTTAACCTCTGGTGAAGCACAACATGTTGCCAAAATAAATAATAACAAATATTTAGACTTAAAACATCATAAAATCCTTTCAATATTATTTAGAGATGGATAAACGTATTTTCTGATGGGACCAAATTTTTGACCAGGCACAACTTTCTTGGCCTTTTCACTCCATTGCTCAAAAATAGCTTTGCCGACAACTGAGATCTTTCTCTTGACGCACATTTGCTCCATACTCATTCAATGATGTTTTCCTCAGTTTTATTACTTCAGTTATGTAAAATACATTTCGCACATGTAGTATACACGTTATGTGTATCTAAAGCTTGCCACAAACTCCACCACTCCAAAAGGCTCCCAGCTTACAGAAATATACAAAGTCAAAACCAAACAAAACAAAAGCTTTGATGGAAAAGAAATAAACATCTGGTAGAAAAAACAACAACAAATAAGTAGCCAAGGGGAAGCTGGAACCAACAGAGGTTCATCATGACCAAGCACAACCAAAAGATAGTGGCAACAGAACAGACTTTGAGCTTGAGTTTGAGTAAAGAGAAGCACATCGACACAAGAACCGTCATATATTGCATGGGAAATGTAAAGTGAAGAGACAGACAGAAACCAGACTCAATAAAGAGGGAAAGTAAAGAAGTAGGTCCTGCCATTGGCACCCTCCGACCACCCACAGACAGAATAGATGAGAGATGAACTAGATGTTTGAGTGAAATCAACATAGGTTATAGTGGGCTGTATGCGCGGATGCTCTGGTGTGGTTTGCTTGTTCTTTGCTATGAAACATCTATCGTCCTTATCTCCCCTTTTTCTTTTTTATGTTTGTTACTTTCTTATAACACCTCTAATCTTCTGGTGCTCTATCATACCTTATGCAGTTGCGAACACCCGTAAAACTTCGACTAAAACTAAACTAAAAGGTTATAGTGTTCTGGGAAAAGCATAATAATTATTACTATTGGGCGGCGGCTGGAAAATGGGGTGTGGCCGTTTACAGCATGGCTGGCAGACTCTGGTGGCCATTTTTGGCCTGAACAACAAGCTTAGTTTTGTAGCATCCAATAAATGACATTATGATTATCGGTTGAGATTCCCCCCACCAGGGCAGTGCTATACTGACTGAAGTTGTCTTTAGGCCATTCCCAAATAGGTGATATTAACATGTTCTTTTGCACAGTAGAATTGTAAATGGGCTGATTATCAATGTCATGCTCATACTGTGCCGGAACAACATAGGAGGGGAACTGCTGCTTTTTCTTTCCTCATCCTTACTATCGTCATTTTATCCTCTACTTCTTTTGTATGCTTGTCACTCTCTTGTGAACTGCTATTTCCAGGGTGCCTTGATAGCAAGTGTCTGTGTGTGTATGTGAGTGTGTATATGTGTACGTGTGTGAGTGTATTTGTGTGTGTGTATGTGTGCGTGTGTGTGTGTTGTCGTGCATCCAAGAGAGTATGCAGGGGCATACAAGCATCTACGTCAAGAAAAAAGTAATAATCGAAAGTGCATAATACAAAACAAATTTTCAAGAGCAAATAACAAAAAAACATTTTTAAATTTAGAAATAATTTCAGAAATAAAACCCTTTTCTAGACAGATAAAAAAAGGACATAACTTCTTTTCTTCTGATCAAAGTTTAAAGTTACTTATAATTAGACCAAAACAAAGACGAAACATGCGTCTAGGCATGGCAAGAACAGTATAACCTAAAAACAACGACATAAAACAACCAAAGCTTTTGTGCTGCCTACAAGACAGAGTGTTGGGACAGGTACACCCTGAAACCAAAATACACTTTGAAAATAGATATATGCGAGCAAAACACACACACACACACACACACACATATATATATATA